CATGTTTTTTTAACTCTTAGAGTACTGACTCACTTTCTGTTCCGTAGGTTACCAACAAGGGTCTTCTGGAGACCCCACTAATTTGTTCTGCTTTGAGGTACAAAAACGAGTCCTAAGTAAAATTTTTAATTAGTTGGAACGTACAAAAGAGAACGGTTGTAGTGTACCTAACCCCCATGTTCTACGCTAACTTCCCACTACAAGAACACGGCAACGTTTAAAAATGGCCACCCGAATGGCTATTTCCTCCAAAACTAAACAAGGTCCCGATTAAATTTGAAAAGTGCCACGTGATAAAACATGTAAGGCAGGGCCCCCTTACGTTAGTTGTAAACAACGCTTTGACCTGAAGCACAGTAGGGAAGGAACGTAAAATTGTGAAAAGTTTGTTTAATAATGATCATAATATTATTATGATTGTGAAAACCCGGAAATTTAGTTGATGTACATTAACATAAGCAAAGCAATCAAAGCCAAAAGGTACTCTCGCAAAAGTAACTGCTAAGGGTAAAAAGAGTACGGCGTAGAAAAACCTCGCAGTTTGATTAATACAGTCCAAAAGTTAGTTAACAGAATAATTTGTAAAATTTGGAAAAGTTTAAGTAGTAGTTAACAAAGATAGTAAATGCATATATGTATACACAATGTTGGTTACACTCAAGGTTAAAAACAAATTTTGGGAACAAAGGGTCAGATAAGAGCAGGTACCTAAATTCTGCGAAACACACACACAGGATGTGACTCATCTCTGGTGCAATAAATAATAATAATAATAATGCTTTATTTGCCCAACAGGAACACCCATTTACAGGACAAACGCGACAATACATAAAGAAAAGTTATTAATTCTAAATTAGTAATAAACAAAACAAAATAAAAAGAGAAAAAACTACTCAGCAGAAACAAATAATACAAAAAAAAAACAAATATGATTTGAAAATAAAGTATGCCAAGATATTAGGAATTATTTAGACGCTATTTCAAAAATATAGAAAATAAAATAAAATCTTTTTTTAAAAGCAAGATGGAAAATTACATGGCCTTATAAGCAAATTTAACTAGAAACGAGATATGTAATAATTACGAATCGTAACTCATTTATCGTACATAGGTTCTAAACTGAAGACCTTTGATTAGCGTAATCCCGCTCCGGCAAGATAGTTAACCCGCCCCTGGTTTCGGGGTTTCGAGCTTACAGTTGAATGTCGAAGACAATCCGGGAATTAGGTGTCGTAACTCAATTTTGACTACAGTTTTTACCACCCCCGTGACTGCTTCATTCACGGAGAAAATTGTTAGTTACAAACAACAAGTCAGTAAATATATCAACCGAATCGGTACATTTCCACATATTAAAATAAAATGATCAAAACTTATATGAATGTTAGTTCAGGGACAAGACCAAGTAATTAATATCAATAAACATAAATTAAGCAAGCATTACACCAAAAATGTAAACAATTAGAAACAAAAGGATAACGGTATTAAATATGTCACTCTGCATTGCGGTACATTTCAAAAATGAAGATTGAAACACAAAAAATATAAAATGCGGAATACAAAACACAAATACGATACAAAGAAATGCAAAAATTACTACCTGCATTAAATAACACAAAATAACAACAAACATTTACAGAGCGACGCGTTTAAGACAAGATGCCAAAACGTAACCGTCGTTTGTGCTTTCCAGATGGCGCAAATCGCTTTCCCCTGCTAAAAATTGCATGCTTGCCAACTCTCAAAAATGTGTGCATCGTCGCAAGTTGTATATACATGGTGGAACCTCTGAGGTTTAGATACTAATAGGCAAAGCTCAAAAACCAGGGAATCAGAAATTGAGAGTCTATAACGGAGAATCGAAAATCGAAGATTGAGATTGTGGAATCGGCAATCCGGAGTCAGTAATCCGGAGCTTCGGTAATACGGAGTTAGGAATAAAAGCTAAGAGCCAAAGCTTACATTTACAAGACTCGAATCCGAACATTCGCGACTCAAGACTCGCTCAAGAATCGTAACCAGAGATTCAAATCTAATATTCTCAACTTGCTTCAGCTTCAGGACACAAACCACCCTTTTTCCAGTTAGAGATCGGAGATCTGGGAACTGATACGAGATGCAAGACTCAAGAGTCTTGAAACTCGAGGTTTAAGACTGGAGACTCGACACCTTAGACTGGAGCCTTAAGGTCAACACCCAATACTGACTATTCAAAGTACTTAACACAAAGCTGGAATATCCAAAATTCAAGATTCAAGGCTCAAAATTCAAGACCCGGAATTCAAGGTTGAATACTCAAGGCGCAAGAGAAAACACTCAAAGGCTCAACAACGAGGACACAAAACTCGAGAAAAAATAGTGAAGACTAAGACTCAAGACTCACGAAACGATATCAATAGTTCAAGAGTCAATAGTCATTTGTCAAAACCCAAAATGATTCTCGTTTTAACGTTCAAAATTCATAACTTAGGGCTTAAGACTTAAAACTCAAGATTCGAGGCCCAACACCTTATATTCAAAGACTCAAGATGCAAGACTCAAGATTCAATGCTCAAGAATTAAAGCTCAAAGCTCGTTAATGAATATTCAAATTCCGAGAATAAAGATTCAAGATTCATGACACGAGGTACCAAGATTCAGAAATCGTTAAATACTAAATAGTAGTGATGCAACTGAAGCAGAAGTGGAAACAGAAGAGGAAGCGGGCTATAAATTTGATAATCAGAGCGCACCTGGTCAATCAAACTGCACTTTGCCATATTTGAAAAATTACTGTACATTTCCGTTGTATAAAACAGCGGAATCGAAGGAGGAAGAGGAAGCGAAAAAGTATGCGGAACCTCTGCACTTGCGGAAGCGGAAGCAGAGGTCTATTACATCACTACTGAATAGTCAGAGCTCAAGGATCGGGTATCAGAAATTGAGAGTCTATAACAGGGAATCGAAAAATCGAGGATTAAAATTCGGAAATTGGGAATGTTGAGTCAGGAATCCAGATATTTAGTAATACGGCGTTATAACTCAAGGCCTAACAGTCAAAGCTTTAGATTGAAGGTTACAATTTCAAGACTCATATCCGAAGACTCGCGACACAAAACTCAAACTTCAGATTCGCAACTTGAGATGAGAGATGCAAGACTCAAGAGTTGATGTATGTATGTATATGTTATACGATTACTAAGCCATCTATCACTGTCTATGAACACTGCACAAGTGCACATCAATAAAATATAAAATTTACTGACAAAAAAGAATTGGCGTAGGTGACCAACAGAGGTCGCTGAATGACCCTACGGCAATTTTCTTTAATGACTTTGTTAAAAAGTAAAGTAAAATAAGAGCATGCACAGTGGAGTGTAAGAGAAGGGTTATTTAACATTTAGCTAAACAAAAGAACCCCAGCGCAAAAATAAAGGAAAACTGTGGAGAAAACTTTTCTTTTTGGGGTCTCTGAGACACCTCTGTTGGTACTCTAAAAGCTAAAGGGTCTGTTCTAATCCTGTACCAGTTTTTTGCCCGTTCACAACATGCTTAAAGGAGGGTAAACTCCCTTTTTTGAAATAAAATTGATAGATTTTTAAATACATCGGGAGTACAATTATTAGATCGGATCGGCCTCCTTACACTGATACGGAGAACGTAAATCCTGAACTTTCTCACTGTAAAAACTCCTCCGACAACGGGTACGTTTGTCATTAACGGGGTTTAGGAATGAGTGTGGTCTCTATTTTTATTGACAAAAAAGGAAAAATTTGTTTACTAAACCAGACGTTTTATCACTCTAAATAGACAGGACGATAACTTTAATTTATGCAGGTAAAGACATTAAAATTAGTATAAAATTAATATTGTTGTTTTACCGAAGTTAGTTTCCCAATGTTAGGCGAAAATGAGCATTAAAACTTCACAGTCGTGCTTCAGCTCGGTCAACGAAGTAATCCGCAGTATACATAATCCGTTTGAGGTGGGTTAGGTGTCACATGAAGCGCGCTTAATTAATTATGAATTTTAAGACTAGTCTTTAATTTTTATGATGACCGAAAGTCGAGAAAGTTTTAATTTTTGAACGCTTTCTTACGAACCCGTCGGGCGAGCTGGAAACCCAGCGTTCCCTTCCAGTATTTGGGGGTTCCTAATAAAAGATATGAGCTCGGTTTAGAGGGGATTCTTTTGGATAGTATTGTTGTATTCTCAAATTTTGCATTTTTACCGCTAGTCCGTTTTCAAAAGACTAATAGCAACCGTTTGATATTTTCCTGAGGAAGTCGGCGGAAAGAGGCGACTGAAGCTTCGAGTTCTTTGGCAGCTAATGCGATTTGGCCGTCTGCTGATATAATTAACAATTTTGCAGAGGCAATACGAACGGTTCGTAAAACCTCGCGGGCGCTTACGTGTCCTTTGAGAGATCTTGAAGCTTGGAAACCGAGTTTTTCTGCCGTCCTTAGGGGCGCACTCGTTGAATCAAAATTGTACCGAAATCGATATTCCAACGAATGTGTAGCAATGCAATTCTATTGATAGCACTCGTCCTGAATTTCATCCCCTTTACCGACTCGTCCTAATATTTTTATTAAACATATCGATCCGGTTGCCAGCAATGTAACATCGGCCACTTTGTAAGAGACCGCTGAGAATAAAAACGTTATTTCTCAATAGCGCGTTCCGAAAACCCCTCCTGTTTTTCATTCAATGGAATGGAATTTAGCTCGTAAATTGCCTCGAAATTTGTCTGATAAAATCGACCAATGTCGAGATTATTCCGGAACTCATTAACAATGGATGGTTTCGATGTTGTTATAATTATGCCCTTATTAAGCACTCAAATAAAGCAATGTTAAGGATCTCGTTATATTTTGACAAAATTTCAAAATAATATTAGAACATCTGTTTTTTTTATAAACAATATGCCAACTAAATTACTATATAAATGTATGGCACGATATGAACGATATAACATTCTCCCACCTTTTAAGTGTAACTTAAAATAGAAATCACAAGAATTAAAGATTTAACCTATTTGGTTTCTTCACCAATCTTCCAAGTCTTGTCTTTACTTTTATATCCTCTGCTGGCTCTGACTTATTGTCCGACTCCAGACTCTTAATGGGTCGCACAATCTCTTTTTCAGACTCTCCTTTTCCGATAACTAAATCTACTTCTAACGGGTAAATACGTTGAATTGGCCTCGACAATTCTCCTTTAGCTGTGCGTAACTTGGCTACACGACACACCCCATCTTTTCCTGGATACAATTCCAAAATTCTTGCTAAAGGCCAATCTGCTCTCTTCTGATTATCGTCACCAATCAAAACCAATTCACCGACTCTAAGGTTTCTCGTGGCTTTATTAGAATTTGCAGCGTAGAACAAAGAACCCAAATATTCAGAGCGAAAACGCTGACGTAAGTCTTTGGTTAACTGCTGACGATATTTCAAGTTTCGGCATAAATGTTTACGGGCAATATAATCACAGTCAGGAATGCCGATTTCCGGTACTTCTTGCAGAAACATGGATGGAGTGAGTGGAGCTAAATCGTTACTATCAGCGCTCAGATATGTAATCGGCCGAGCATTGATGACAGCTTCACAATCTATCAGCACCGTAATTAACTCTTCATACGATAACGAAATTCGTCCTAGTACTTTTCTCAATAACTGCTTTAACAGACGAATTAGCCTTTCCCAAAATCCACCCCACCATGGAGCTGAAGGAGGGTTGAATCTCCATTCTATTTTGTATGCAGAACCTCGTTCCTGTATCTTATCCCAGTCTAACTTCTTGAAAAGGTTCCCTGCTCCAACCAGATTAGTCCCCTGATCGCTATAAATGCAGGATGGTCGTCCACGAGCTTTCTGTCCTTCCTGTAAGTATAAAGGACCTGCGAGGTCCACACCTACGACCTCAAAGATTGCAGCATCTCGTACTCTATTTAGCGGTAGCGGCGGAGTGTTCACTTCGACTTTAGTGGCGTTATACCTCTGGCACTTTACACACGATTTTATAACCGTTCTAACTGCTCGCCTGGCTGACAAAACCCAATACTCTTCGCGGATAACATTTATGGTGGTTTGTACTCCTGCATGGTACAAATCTTCATGACGTTGTCGGATCAACCTTTTTACCATTTTATGTTCAGGGCTTAACACTACTGGGCACCTGAAATTATAATTATCAGTACTATTAAACACTTTGGTCTTTAGACGAATAACGCCGTCATCGTCTACAAAAGGGTTAAGTGTTTTCAATCGCGAATCGTCAACACCTTCGAACATTTCTGTCTGTAAACTCTTTAACAACAAAACTTCAGCTGCACATATTTCCCTTACTAATAAAGGTCCAGAAACACGAACATTGTTAGGAACGTGACGTTTATAAACTTGACGTTTAGGAACTTGACTTTTAGGAACACGACAATTATTCACAAAACGTTTAGACCACGCGATACACCGCACGACGGTATGATAACTAGAAACATCGGGATACCACGAATTGTCTTTGATTGAAGTTAACTGTCTTGATAGAAGTACGGGCACAGCTTCTTCTTTTTTGGTTTTCACCAATCCTTTTTGCTGTTCTCTAGCTACCTCCGTTTCATCAACTTCGTCTGGTGACTTTGGCCATTCTTCTGAATGTTTCTTTAACCATAAAGGGCCCTCCCACCATTTCGATGCTAACAATTGCTTAGCTGAACATCCTCGGGAAGGTAAGTCCGCCGGATTTAATTCACCTGGTACAAATCTCCAGCAACTCCACTCCACCAACTGTCGTATCTTTGTAACTCGATTTTTCACAAATACATTCCAGTTTCCGTCTCGTAGAATCCACGATAGTACAGTTGTGGAATCTGTCCATATGTACACTTGAACATTCTGGTATTGTAACTCTTGAATTACAAAATTAGTCAACCTGGCGCCAATAGTGGCCGCTAACAACTCTAATCTAGGAATCGTGGTTGACTTCGTAGGCGCTACTCTTACCTTGGCTGTAATCAATTGAACTGTAACTCCTTGAGACGATGCTGCTCTCAAATAAACGGCTGCAGCATAGGCTTTGCCGCTAGCATCACAAAACGTGTGTATGCTCAATCCATCTTCTGTCACTGAATTAGTAATTAATCGGCGCGGTATTTCCAATTCTTTTAACGACTGTAACTGCTCTTTCCAATTAACAAACTCTTGTCTAACTGGTTCATCCACTTCTGTATCCCAGTCTAGACCCCACAGCCACGTTCGTTGCAACAACAGCTTAGGAAGTAGCATAACCGGACATGTAAAACCAATCGGATCAAATACCTTATTCGTCGCCGACAGAATACTTCTTTTAGTAACTTTATCTTCTTTTTGGGTGTTGAGTATCGACGGATTAATGCACAATGTGTCTCGTTCCTTGTGCCACACAAGTCCAAGAACGTTCGTTTCTTTTCCACACTGTTGTCCGGTAAATTCCCAACCTCTGAGCGTAAACTGTCCTTCTGACATGATAGAAGTCGCTTCTGTCATAAATGTTGTCAGTTCAACTTCATTATCCACACTCGTTACACAATTGTCCACGTAAAAACTGCGTAACAATTTGGACACCACATTCTGGTCAGACGATTCCTTATCCACAAATTTTTGTAAATGGAATCTTATAACTGCTCCCAACAAAAAAGGACTGCTCGATACTCCGAAAACAACTCGTGCATGTCTCCATTCAACCATCTCTGTCGCTCGTGGATCGGACCACCAAAGAAACTTCAAATAATTTCGATCCCTTTTAGCGACACTTATCTGCAAAAATGCCTTTTGTATATCAGATATTACTCCAAAATTCCTTTTTCTAAAATCCAAAAGTATTTTGGGAATCAATTCTATCAAATTCGGTCCGGTTTCTAAACATAAGTTTAGGGAATTTGAGTTATCAGTTTTCGCCGATGCATTGAATATTGGTCGCAATTTAGTGGTGCTATCTTCTTTTACTACGTGCCGATGCGCCAGATAGTGTCCTTCTTGATTGAGACATTCTTTTGGAACAAGCTCAATTATTCCTTCTTTGGACCATTCTTGCAAAACGTTGTGATAGTCCAACAAGCGATTTTCCAATTGTAACTTTTTTGTAAGCGAAAATAATCTTCTCTCTGCATGTCTTCTATTGGACGACAGCGGTAAATGTTCTTCAGTCCAAGGGAGTTCTATCTCATAGCGGCCTTCTTCATTTACTGTCACTGTCTCTAGAAACCGCTCTACAACTTCCTTTTCTCGCGTCTCCTTTGATTTCTGACTTGCCAAGTCCTTTATACCAATAGTCTCAAGATCCCAAAAGTTAGCAATATCACGATCTTGAATTAACAGAGAAATCACAATTAAAGTTATATCATTTCGTTTGGAAGTAGTAACAGGTAATTTTCCCATTAATGTCCATCCCAATAAAGTCTCTAATGCTACGAGCCCATTGTCTAATTGCACACGCTGTCCAGTCAACAATTTACCAGCTATGTCAGCTCCAATTAAAATACTAATCTGTTCTACGGATGAGCCAACATCTGATAGAAAAATACCTTGTTTTTCCAATACCTGCATGTTCGACATAAATTTAACAGCGGGAATTTTATCACAAATATTCTCTTGACTTTTGGCTTCAAAAGTACAAGCGTAACTACCATCGACACTACGTAAATGTAGTCGGTACACATGATGTTTTTGAGGTCGTGTCTTAACTCCACCGAAAAGAGTGTGTGTAATTTCTTCCTCTCGTTCTGAATGATAACCCATAGTAACCGCATCCGCTTCGCGTATATAGGAATTTTGGGACCCAGTGTCAATTACGGCGCGCACTATCTGTTCCCGTTTACCTTGAAGAAGTGTCACTGTCAATGTCATTAAACAAACTTCAGGAACATTTAAAAAATAAGCCAGATTCTGTTCTATTGTAGTAGCTTTTTCCTTCTCAGCTTTCGGAGGTTGATCTGTCGATTTATTATTCGCCAGGCTTCTACACATAACCATGACGTGACGTTTAGAACACCATTGACACTTAAGCTGGACCCTGCACCGTCGAAAACTATGGCCTTGTTTCAAGCAATTAAAACAGCAATTCTTATCTCGAGCTACCTTTTGACGTTCATCCAAATTCATAGACCGAGCTTTGTCGCAGTCAGCGCTAGAATGATCACCATTACAAAAGATACAAATCTCATCTTTTGATTTTGTTGTCAAAAGACCCATTGCCGTTGGAACAATCTTTTGTTCTTTCTTGGATTTGTCAGCTTCACTCGCCTTCATTTTCTCTGAGGACCTCTCGCTTTTGTTCAACAAGCCAAAACCATCAGTGGCCAGCCGTATTTTTTCCTCAGCTTCTACTTCGGTACCGATAAACTGCATTAACGCTTCGAGTTTCTCTTTGCAGTCTTTTGCTTGTCTCGACTCCGTTGTACGTTGCCACGTTCTTAACAATTCCTCAGGTAACGCAGATTCTACCAATGGATATAACATAGCAGCACATTTATCTGTAGTAACTCCCAATGTTGCTAACGCCTGCATATGTGACTCAAGTTTGTCATACAAGCTACCTAACGCATCGCGGTTAATGCCCCGTTTGGCATTCTGCAAAACTAGTGTTAACAGTTCGCGAATATACACTTCCACTAACAAATCTTCACGTCCAAAGCGATTTTTTAAACTGTCTACAGCTTTTGCGTAATTATCACCAGTAGGTGGAAAGCGTGCAATTAACTCAGCAGCTCTCGAACCGGGAACCATCGCCGCAATTAAATATTCAAATTTGTCTTCGGTAGACATTTGTGCGTCAAGATCGATTTTTTGAAATTGTCCCCAGAACCGTAACCACTCGCGAGTAGAACCACCAAACTTTATCAAGTTAATAACCGGTAGTTTCATTTTCTTGGCTGTAACCGGTATATTAATTACGCCTGTTGTCGTTCCTCCAGGAGTAGATTGCACTGATGCAGAACTGGGTGAAGGCTCAAGAAGTTGCAATGTCTCTTCTACCGCATATTTACCCGTTAGAAATTTACGGGTGTACTTTTCTGCTTCATCCATATCTACGGTTAAATTCTCCTGCGAAATTTCTTCATCAGCTGACATTCGGCAGTGTAATCCCTCAGTTGTCTTTACTAACGTCTCATATCTCTCCTGTAATAATTGCCAAGATATTTTCACTTCAACTACCTTAGTACTATCTCCAGCTAAAAGAACCTCTAATGCGTTGTACGCTTTCGTAAACGCCTGCCGGGAAGAAGTACGAAGTTTTTTAAGTTGTTCCATATCCAGTTGCTCCATTTTCCAAAAACGTTTTCTCAGAACAAAACTCACGCAAAAAATGTCCTGTCACGGTCGCCAAATGTTATAATTATGCCCTTATTAAGCACTCAAATAAAGCAATGTTAAGGATCTCGTTATATTTTGACAAAATTTCAAAATAATATTAGAACATCTGTTTTTTTTATAAACAATATGCCAACTAAATTACTATATAAATGTATGGCACGATATGAACGATATAACAGATGTAAACCACAGGTGAAATAATTAGATTTGTAACATGACTCCAAAGTTAACTTTTACATTAGGCTTGTAACTTTGTCAGTGTAAATATGCCGGGGGTCTAATTATATAATTAATTATGGGGAAGCTTTGTGCGATGATGTTGTTTCTAGGGCACGTTATGTTCCACTCGACCTTTCTTAAGTTACATACGTAATGACGAAGCGGCTTTTTTGGCTAGGTAAATTACATATTGCACTAAAACTGATTTTCAACACTTGGGTTGAAATTGAGTTGGACTAATCTTGAAGACATTAGGGTCTGTTCTTTCAGAAGCACAATTTCCATGTGTGGGACAGCCTAGTTAATTAATTATTTTAATAAAGAATAGGGGGGGGGGGGGGATTCGCTTTTTGGTCACTGGGGTAGGGTCAAAGTGGTTCACGTTCACGTTTGAATTTTACGTGTGAAATTGAAAAGAAATCGTTGCTCAATTACGGCGGAAGAAATTCGGTTTCTGCAATTAAGTTAGTGAGGGTGTTGCCAGTGTTGGTATTTATTTTGGCACCACAAGAAAAGCGGTTAATCGTTTTTCGTTCTCATAAAAGAAAGACGTAATCGCGGTCAAGGACAAACTAAATCAGCGCGCCAGTATATATGTAGAGTTATTGTTAAACACTCAGAACAGATTCCTTGCATACTTTTCTGAATTCCTCCCTGGTAAATCAGTCATGTTCTATATGGTTCTCCCTGTGGTTCCCTGTTGCACTTTTTAATCACTTTTTTTAGTGATACTCCTGGTAACCATTTTCCGTCTGTTTCTTTCGATTTTTTCTGGTAACCTTTTTGGAAAGACACTTCAAAACCTAAAAGTTTTTAAAGAATTCCAAAGATTCTTAACGATATACGAAAATGCTCAAGCGCTCTTAAGGTTACTAGGGATTATTAAAACCTTGAAGACCCTTAACATGCCAACACCCTAATAGAAAACTTAATGTCGGCGAAACAAACCCTCAATGACTTTTGAAAACTCTTTGAGATCATTGGTGCTCCTTATAACGCCGTTAAGGACCTATAAAACCCCATAAAAAGTAATAAACGTTCTGCCTTTAAAGAGACGGGGACGTGTCGAGGACTGTAAGAGCTTATGAAGAAGGTTCATACTTCATCAACGAAAGATATCCTAATAAGTACGTATTAGTACTGTGAAGGCTCTATCGATTTTTTTAACGTATTCCATGCTCTCCCCCCACCCCCCAACCATTAATTCCAGTTACGGAAACTACGCTTAAAGGGAGGTTTTTCGAACTTTTCTTTAAATCTTTGTCTTTGTTAAATCTCCTTTAAAGTTGCCATTAGGGTGATATGGGCTCTATACATTTTTAGAGAATGGGATACCACCGGGGGGCTGGGGGTATGGAACACACCCCAGGAACACATTACAGGAATGACAGATTTCCGAAAATTAGTGTTAGTGTTTTGAAGGCTGTAAACGGGAGATTCATCGAATCTGTTCTTCCTAGGGAGTCCATACCTCCAGACTACCTGGGGTTATACTCTCCCCCAAGTGGTCAAAAATTGTCAACACACTTATGATAACTTGCCAGGGAGAGCTATCAATTTTTTGAATGGAACCTACCCCCTACCCCCCCCTTGCTCATTAATAGCTCCACCACACAACGATGACCATACCTCGAGGAAGGTTTATCGAATTCTTCGTATTCGTGAAATCTACATGTAAAAATGCCATTAGGGTGATATGAGCTTTAAACGTTTTGGTAGATGGGATACCACCGGGGGGGGGGGGGGGTATGGAACGCCCCCCCCCCTCCCCGTCGAGAGACACAATTAAGGAATGAAAGACTTCCAATATTAGTATTAGTGTTGTAGACGCTGTGGGCGGGAGTTTTTTTTCGTTACCTCCCCAGACCCCCCTATATACGTTATACGTTTAAACTCTTTATCACTATGGTCATTTGTCAGAGAGGTCAATCAATTTTTATTTTTTTTTAAGTATTCCATACCTACCCCCTTCCCATTAATGGATTTACCACAAAACGATGACCACAACTCGAGGAGGTTTATCTACCCTTTCTTTCTAGGATCTTTGTACTTAATTCAATATTCATATCTAGTTGCCTGGTCTGGGGGTATGGAATAAGTTGTGAACCCCATGTTAAAAACCTTTAGAAGTATGATCCTTTATCACGGAGAGCAATCGATTTTGAAAGGTATTCCCCACCCCCTTCGCATTAGTGCCACCACCATAAAAGTTACTTTCTAAGATTTTAGTTTTCTCTAAATCTCCCTATAAAGTTGCCATTATGGTGTTATGGACTATTAACGTTTTGGTGCAGCGGATACCACCAAGAGTTTGGAAGGTATTGAATACCCCCCCCCCCCTCCAGAAACGGATTTCAGGAATGAAAATTTTTCAGGTATTGAAGGCTGTACACGGGAGATTCCTCGAATCTTCTCTCCGCTAAAATTTTCAGCACTCGTTTGGTCATTTATCAGGGACAGGAATCGATTTTTCTTGTTTGAGCCCTCCCCCTCCACCCCCTACCCATTAATGCCCCCATCACAATATGATGACTGATAAAAGACTTTTAAGATCCCTTAAACCCCCTCGAAAGCACTTAAAGATCCTTTGGCCCTTTTCCAATATTTTGCTGTAATCAAATGAAGGGCTTCTAATGTTTATAGGAAACCCTTGGAATGTCTGGAAGGCCTTTGAAAGTTTATGGAGGCCTAAATGCCTTAAAAGGATTTAATAGTTATTTACATAAAAGTTCGGAAAATGATACATTACTGGCGAGGAAATATTGAAGTACAAGGCTCCTTTGGGGCCGAGTACTTTAAATTCCGAGTCAGGTAATGTAATTTTACTGACGAGTTTTGTATTAAATTTTACCCGAAATCGCATTTTAATATAAAATTTCAATTTTCGTATAGAACTTTTGATTAACGTCAATGTGTCAGTGATGACATAAGTCATTATAGTGTCACAAATGCGGCCGGTAAAGTGACAGTGCGGCCAGCAAAGTGACAAGCGACAGGAAACTCTGCCTCTGTTATGGAAACTCAAATTTCCTGACAGAAAGTAGGCATGAAAATGAAGGTTTCAGGACGATTTTGGGTAAAAGTGTCTTGCAGGCTCTTAAAAGCTTGTAGGCTATCTGAAAAGTCCTGCAATTTACTTAATGGCTCGTAAATAATAATAATAATAATAATAATTTCCTGATAGCGTTGGCTATTGTGCCCATCAATAGGTATGTTGGTAAGTACGAATTACATTATCCCTAGATGTCCAATGTACGTGTGTGATTTTTTTTTTTTTTTTTTTTTTTTTTTTTTTTTAATGACCCTACATAACTTCACCAGACACAGACACTAATCGTTACTTGTTTTAATCCGTGCGATTAGTTTAACCAGGCTAGACCTGAGTTCTCACAAGAAACACCGATAATAATAATAATAATAATAATAATAATAAACACAGACACAGACACTGATCGTTACTTGATTTTAATCCGTGCGATTAGTTAACCAGGCTAGACCTGAGTTCTCACAAGAAACACCGACCATAATAATAATAATAATAATTTTTTTTTTTTTTTTTTTTTTTTTTTTTTTTAAGGACCCTTACATAACTTCACCAGACACAGACACAGACACTAATCGTTACTTGATTTTAATCCGTGCGATTAGTTAACCAGGCTAGACCTGAGTTCTCACAAGAAAACCGACCATAATAATAATAATAATAATAAACAAAGACAGGTCCATCCAATAAAGTTACACGCCCTAGCACATTTAAAAAACACAAAACTCCTTCTTCACAGAAACACACCACATTTTCACAACCCACTCGTATTCAACCGAAACGCAAAAACCTTAACAGAACTACAGGCTCACAACATACTAAAATATCTCCACCAAAAACCCAAGCAATTTCACAAATACAACCTCAAGAACAAAGAAACATCATAAATACAAGTAACGCAACATGCACTACAAAGACAGGTCCATCCAATAAAGTTACACGCCCTAGCACAGTTAAAAAACACAATACTCCTTCTTCTCAGAAACAACCCACTAGTATACAACCGAAACGCAAAAACCTTAACAGCACCACAGGCTCACAAAATACTGCAATATCTCCACCAAAAACCCAAGCAACCTCACAAATACGACCTCAGGAACAAAGAAACACCATAAATACAATTAAAAAACAAAACTCCTTCTTCACAGAAACACACCACGTTATCACAACCCACTCGTATTCAACCCAAACGCAAAGCCAAAAAAACACTTACACAATAAACTCCATTTAATAAAATTACAGGAATTATTATAATGATTTTTTTTGTTTTGTTTTGTTTTCCTCTTTCCTGATAGCGTTGGCTACTGTGCCCATCAATAGGTATGTTGGTAAGTACGAATTGCATACTATCCCTAGATGTCCAATGTACGTGTGTGATTTTTTTTTTTAAGGACCCTACATAACTTCACCAGACACAGACACAGACACAGACACTAATCGTTACTTGATTTTAATCCGTGCGATTAGTTAACCAGGCTAGACCTGAGTTCTCACAAGAAACACCGACAATAATAATAATAATAATGATTTATTGTCCAACAGATGTTTGTACATCCAATTACAGAACAATTACAGAAATTAAATATGGCATGATTGAAAAATAAACATAATGTACTATAAATTGATTATCAAAAAAAAAAAAATAAATAGATATTTAAATGTAAGGAGACATATATATCTACGAAATGAC